GCGGAAAAACGAGAAATGGGGTCTTTACAAGTGTTATGGCAAACATGATTGGTTGTACTTTTTATGTCTGCTGGTCCGCAATGTTGTCTGTACATTTGTCATTGTGTCCGCCTGTCGATTTTCCCATCAGCGGTAGCCAGCCAATCCTATATTTGTTTTTTTTTTTTGTTTTAAATGGTTGCGGCCCAGTGCAATTTCCACTTTAATTAATTCCTTTCCATGCAATTGTGCTATTCTTTGTCTTTCTTTTCATACTTTGTTTTGCTGTGAACTGGATAAATCCAACCGACCAACAACAAATATTGCATAAAGCCCTGACAAAATAGAGGCAATAAATAATGACATTATTTTGTGGTAGGTGCAGCGCAAATGAGTTTTGCAAGTAATTGAAAGAGGAAGGATGAAAAAAAGAAGAATGTCATGGAAAATTGCATTTTTTTTCAGTTTCATCTAAAATTGAAGTGCGTTGCGTATGGCGACTCGACCAATGCATGGATTTTTGCACTGAATTCACAACGTTTATTGGGTCTGAAGTTCAAATGTGCAACACATGTGTTTCGTCGTAAAAATGTGCTTAAGGTTAGGTTAAGAGTTGGGTGACAAAAGGGGGAAACGAGATGGATAGAATAATTTTATGGAATCCATAACGCACACATGTATTTAAGAAGTTTACGGTTCTATTCAGTAATCTTGTTATACCCTCAGCCATATGGCTTCAGAGGGTATATATCATTTGATAGACCAAAACGTACCTAGTCGAAATAATGGTTTTAAACCCTAGGTCTCTTTGGACCAAATCTGCTTCAGGACATTTGGAGACGATCTAGCGATATCCGTCCGTCCGTCTGTCAGTCAGTCTGTCTGGCTGACTGGTGCTCACGATAACTCTCGAAGGAAGTATCCGATTTGGTCCAAACTTGGTACATCGTAATATTTTTGTCAAACTTAGATCGAGTTCGAAAATGGGCAATATCGATCTACTCCTTCTGGTACCTCTCCCACAAAAGGTCGAAATTTTCAAAAAATATATTTTCTGCACCGAAAGAAAAAGGACAATCCAATTTTGCTCCATCTTTGCATATCCTAATATTTGCGTCAGTGCTAGGTCATGGGAAAATGGACAATATCGGTCAACTCCATCAAGTACCTCCCCCAGAAAGGGTCAACATTTTGAATAATTATAACTCTTATAAAATATGATGTAAGATTCCGATTGTCTCCAAATTCCACACATCACAATACTTTCATTAACCCAAGGTCTGGTGTGAGGATGGTATATATCGGTACAATCCTTCAGGAACCTCCTCCACAAAATTTCAACATTTTCAATATCCATGAAGATACAATAATGACAGATGTAAGTATCGGAAATAGTGACCCTTTGTGGCTGAGGTACCAGAAGGGGTGCGCAGATATATATCATCTTCACAACAGATGTGTATGTGTGAAATTTGAAGAGAGTTGGATGCTTATTCCGCTTTCTTTGAGCGTTATGTTTTTCAAAATCTTGAACCCTATGTGGGGGAGGTACCAGAAGAAATGGCCCGATCTCTTCCATCTTTACATCAAATTTGTGTTGATGGAAATATTGAGATGTACCAAGTCTGAATGGAATCGGATGTTAATTTCGCGTTTTATGACCTTCATGGACATTCAAAATTTTGACCCTTTGTGGAAGATGTACCAAAAGGAGTAGACCGATATATCCCATCTTCACACCAGATCTTGTGTTAGTAATAATGGCACTTAATAACAAATTTAGTACCATTCAGTACTTTCCGTGCAAATATTGGAGGCATTCACCAAACCACCGCTAAATTTCAAACACAGATACCGTCATCAGCAATTTAAATATCGAATTTCGGAATTTTATATCCATCCATTCACCTAATACCGAATTTAGTACTTTTCTTATCATTTTAGTGCTTATTTGCAAAACCATTCCATGTATCAATCCTACCAACCAATAGTTATCGCAACATAAAATCTCACGTTTTTTTCACGGTCCCATTAATCCACTACCAAATTTAGTACTATTTAGTACTTTTCGTACAATTATAGTACACATTTCCAAAACTACCTCCAACAGTGACCTACATATGAAATTTGAGGATTAGGGCTCCCTTCGCCCAATATGAAATTTAGTACCATTTAGTACTTTTCGTACAAATGTAGGGCGTATTTTCAAAACTCCTTCAAATCCCAAACATAGATACTTTCAGTAATCTAAATATCAAATTTTATAATTTTATCGCTATCCCTTTACTCAATACCAAATATAGTACCATTTAGTAATTTTGTAATTATAGTACATATTTTTCCAAAACCACCTCCATATCTAAATGCCAGATACCAAAAGAGACCTCAATGTCAAATTTGAGGACTCCAACCATACCCCTCACTCAATACCAAATTGTACCAAATATAGTACCATTTAGTACTTTTTGTACAACTATAGGACGCATTTCCAAACCACTGCCGAATATTACAGATACCGTCTGTAATCTAAAAATTAAATTTCAGAATTCTATCTCTATTCCTTAACCAAATATCAAATTTAGTACTTTTCGTATAATTAAAACACACATTCCCAAAACCACCTGCATATATTAACCACAGATACCAACAGTGATATCTATATCAAATTTGAGGATTCCGTCCACCTGATATCAAACTTAGTACTTTTCGTACAAATATAGATCGCATATCCAAACCAAGGGCAAATCTGAAATACAGATAACATAAGTAATCTAAATATAAAATTTCTGAATTTATCTGAAGATAACTTCATCCAAATAAAGTACGTTCCTACAAGTAGTATAGTTCCTACAATTATAGTACAATTTCCAAGACCACCTCCATATGCCCAGGTGCATGCACAGCAACCGTAATGGCAAATATCAGATTTCAAGCACTATCTATTTACCCAATACCATATTGTACCAGGATGTACTGCTATTCTGTACTTTTTCGTGCACTTGTATTACATATTTCCAAAACCACTTCTTTATCCTATCACCTATCACCAACAGGGACCGCAATACAAAATTCCAGCTTTTTACTTTTTCTCTAAACCAAGCTGTTCCAAACTTAGTACCATTTAGTACAGTTCGCACACTTAGTACACATTGGCAAAGCCACCACCTTCATATATCAAACTGTCTTTCCAATCTGGATTGTTATACCAAGGTTTCATTGTTTTAGCTCTATTCGTTCACATTCAAATGGTGCCATTTTAGAATTTTAGTACGAGTATAGAGTTTATCCTAACCTTAAACTTTGAATTTCCAAAAACCCTTTGATACATCCATCCTGCATCCATTATTGAATCTCATTCCAAATTTCACAATTCTAATTCATTCCGTTTGTCCAATACAAACTATTAAATTTTACATTTTAGTACTTTTCGTACCTTTTTAGTACGAATATCCAAAAACCCATCCTTATCATGCGCCTACGCATCAAGACACCCTTCGTGCAATATTTCAAGATTCTTTCCTCTGGGCGTTGATTCTCGATCAGTCAACTAGTCAGTTATTACACAACAACAATAATAATAACAATAAAATATAAAAAATGTATATATTATTTATTTAATATTATTATTGTATATATATTATTAAAAAACTGTTATTATTATTGTTATTATTATTATTATTATTATTATTATTATTATTATTATTATTATTATTATTATTATTATTATTATTATTATTATTATTATTATTATTATTATTATTATTATTATTATTATTATTATTATTATTATTATTATTATTATTATTATTATTATTATTATTATTATTATTATTATTATTATTTATCTGAATGTTTAACTATTTCCAGTAACTCAGTAATTTTTCTCAATAACAATTTAAAAACTCTCAGTAAGTGCTTGTTTACATGTGGGGATTTCTTGTCTCATTTCTGTGTAGGAGAGACTTAAAGAAAAATTTATAGAAAAAAGGGGTTTCACACTTAAAATGACTCCGGGAGTACTAATCTCGGATTTTTTAGTTTACATAGACTCAGAGAAAAAATATGGGGTTATAAACAGACATTTCCGCAATTGGAGTGTTTCACACCAAAGTCATTATTTAAGCTTTGAACTGTTTTAGATTTTAAAGTTACGATCATGGATTTTTAGGTGTATTTTTAAAGGACTTTTAGAGCAATAATCAAGTGCAGTTTTTGAGGACTCCCAGAACAATAATCGTGGAATTCTTAAATTTATTTTTTTTTTTTAATTTCCAAGGGAGCAAAGGATTCTGATAGTGATTTTAACCTATATTTTTCAAATAATTCTTTGAGGAAAAATTAAGAACTCTAAGGAAAGCAAAAATAGAGACTTTTAAGTAAATTTTTAAAAGGACTCTTAGAACTATAATCGTCGATTTTTAAGTATATTTTTGTAGATAACTCTCGGGAAAATAATGGTTGATTTAATTTTGTTGATTTTTAAAATGAAAATACAAAGTTTTTATAACCCAAGTATTGTTTTATTAAATTTTAAGTTTTTCTTTCCAATATTATTTTTTTATTACTTATTTATTATTTTTCAATTTTCTCTTTATGATTTCATTTTTATTTATTTATTTTTTCGTTTTCAATTTTAGCAAACGTTTTGGTTGGACATTTTTTGATATTTTTTATACCAGTAATAAGACTGTTAACGTACCAAACAAGGCCTTAGATAACAAACCTGCCAGTAGTTCCTCGTCGACTAATAAACCAAGTGAGGCTAGCAGTTCGAAGGCGCCTGAACCAGCGAAACCAGCAGCACCTAAACCAGCTGAAGTTAAACCTGCACCAGCTCCAGCACCTCCAAAACCAACGGAAGTTAAGCCCGTAGCTCCTGCACCAGCTCCAGCACCACCAAAGCCAGCGGAAGTTAAGCCTGCTGCTCCTGCACCAGCTCCAGCTCCACCAAAGCCAGCGGAAGTTAAACCTGCTGCTCCGGCACCAGTCCCTGCTCCTGCACCACCAAAACCAGCTGAGGTTAAACCCACACCACCTTCAGTTTCTCCCCCAAAAACACCAGCTTTCGATACCCCTCTTGTCCCTCTCAAACCAACAGAAGACAAAATGCCTGTCCCCATCGCCGTACCAAATCCTCCAGCTAATGCTGATTTGAAAAAGTCCGAAAATGGCACCATGCAAGATGCATTGGACAAAAAGCTGCAAGAGACCTCCGCCCTCAAGGAGAACGGTGAGAACATCAAGAATAACTTGAAAAATGCCACCGCTGACTTTTTAAGTGGGGAATCAAAAGTACCCACGAAAATGATGAAAATGTCCGATGGGTAAGTTTGACAGAATATTTTTCTTTATCTTCTATTCAGTTGCTGGACCAATTAATTTAATTTGTGGTAAAATTTTATGTTTTGTTTTTAAATTTAATATTTTTATTTTTATTGGATTGAGGATAGATTTTATTATTTTGAAATCAAATATTAACTTGCCGCCTTTTTTGAGAATATAATATTACATTAACTTATACTATGGAGGACAATAATTCTGCACTAAATCACAAAAAGTAATAGCCCCAAAATCAGTGTGTTTTTGAATATTGCAAATATTTGAGTTGCTTGTTGGATTTGTAATATTTGACATATTGTGGGACCTCAAATAATGTTCCCTGGTGACTATTTTTGTAGAGTATTCTAACCACGCACTGACAATTTTTATTTCTTCATTTAATCACCTCTTTTCTATTTCCCCCCGGTTTCAAAGAATTTGAAATTCCAGTCGTGAAATTCCGAAGTGAATTATCGAAATCTTAAGCATGTTGTTTTTAGCAGTAATTTCTTTAACATAAATCCTTGATAATTTTTTTAATGGATAATCACGGATTTGAGTTGGGTTGATGTGCTATTACAACTGAAAGAATTCAAAACTGTAATCCGTATTAAAAAAAAAAAAAAAAAAAAAAAAAACTTTAACAAACGAAAAAGCAGTAAGTTCTACCGCGCCGAACTTTGAACCATTTGGAAAAAATTTTCAAAAAAAAAACTCCTATGAAGATATATTTGGGAGTTATACCCAAATCTGAAACTATTTTGACAAAATTTTAAATTCTTATTTCTGAGCTGTATCTGACATCTGGCAACAACGATTATCGTTGTGGAGTGCATATTACGCATGTGAGGGACTTTAACACTAAAATACGGATAAAACATATGTATGGGAGATATAGCTTTATCTGAACCGATTTTCACCAAATTTGAAATAATTGTTTCTACGATGAATTTAGTCGGAATTGCCAAAATTCTGTTCATTTGGGCTGATATTAACCATTTGGTGCACAATATACCTATATCCTAATCTGATCCGATCTCGATAAAATTTGACAGATGCATTTTTAAGCTCCATAAGTTATCTGGTACCAAATATCATTTTTGTGGAGTGAATATTACGCATGTGAGGGACTTAAAACCTCAAATCGAATGAAACATATATATGGGAGCTATAGCTATATCTGAACCGATTTTCTTCAAATTTGATGTACTTGCTTCTAGACTGAATTCGGTAGGATGTGCCAAAATTCATGTTATTTGGTCTGATATTGGCCATTTGGTGCACAATTGAACCGGAATCGGTTGAAGATATATATGGGAGCTAAATCTAAATTTGAACCGATTCTCACCAATTTCAATAGGGTTCGATCATGGGTCAAAAAAATATTGTTTGGAAAATTTCATCTCAATCGGATAAAAAACGCGACCTGCATTTTTTTCACAAAAATATATGGACCGACGGGCGGATGGACGAACTGACTTGCATAAATCAGCTCAGAAAGTGATTCTATGAAGATCCTCAAAAGTAACTATGGGTCTATCTCGCTTCCTTCTTCGTGTTACAAACAAGTGCACAAAGACACAATTCCCTTACCACTATATGGCGTAGGATAGAAAAATACCGAATATGAGGAGTTAACGTTGTTTTGAGGTCTATACGAATATGTGGACCTTTATATGCAGATTTTGTCATAGGCCATTACGATATTCAAATACGAAACGAAAACAATTCCGGTAAATAATGTTGTTAAAATCGTCAAAATACTGAATATAGGGAAGTACCGATATATGGGGGCTATACGAAGACCTGCACCTGCATAGAAAATTTTCTGTCATAAGCTGTAGTACCTATTAGGAACTTAAAATACGACATTTGATACATTTCCGGTGGGTATTGGGGCTAAAATCATCAAAACACCGAATACAGGGAGGTACCGATATATGGGGGCTATACGAAGACTTGGGCCAGCATAGGACATTTTCTGGTACAGGTTGTAGAACCCATTACGAACTTCAAATACGAAATTTGAAGCAATTCGGGTAAATAATGTCACTAAAATCATCAGAATACCGAATATAGGGAGTTACAGTTATATAGGGCCTATACGAAGACTTGGGCCAGCATATCCATTAGGAACTTCAAATACGAAATTTGAAACAATTCGGGTAAATAATGTCACTAAAATCATCAGAATATCGAATATAGGGGGGTGCCGTTATATGGGGGCTATACGAAGACCTGAACCTGCATAGGAAACTTTCTGTCATTGGATGTAGTACCCATTAGAATTCCCTTCAAATTCCAAATGTAAAACATTTCCGGGGAAAAGTGTAACACAAATCATCAAAATAGCGAATATCAGGAGGTACAGTTATATGGAATCTATATCACAGACCACACTAGACCTATATTGAAAGTTCTATGCAAGGATGTTTCTTGCGTAATTGGAACACATTCTGCCAATCTGCATCATATTCGGATTAAAATTGTGACTAAAACATCAAAAAAAAAACCTTAAATCCATCGGTATAGATATAAAGAGCCTATATCAAAACGTGGACCTATATAGCCCATTTTCAATACCAAAAATCCTGCAGACCAAGCACACCTCTGAGTAATATTTTTATCAACCTACTTCATTTAATCAAGCTAGAGTGATTTTCACAGACGGACAGACATCGATAAAATGACACGGAATTTTGTGCTTATCTTTGTGGGGTCTAAAATTTATATTTCGAGGTGCTGCAGACAGAATGTCAAACCGAATGTACCAATATCTATGCTATGGAGGAGGGTATAAAAATGAAAACCTAATTTTCCCAATAACTCCTTTAAAAAAATACATTTTCTTAAAAATTTAAAAAAATCTCTAAGGTGAGACGCTTTTTGGACTGGCTTAAGTCATCTGCTGGCTTCTTCGTAGAGGAACAAAGGAGTTTAAGGTTGAATCAGTTCCACTTTGTTCCTACGCTCCTTTGTTCTTTTCCGAAGAAGCCAGCGATGACTTAAGCCCATCAAAAAAGGCGTTTTCTGTATTCTCACTTTTAAAAGTAACCTAGACTTTTTTTCTGAAGCCCCATCTCAACTGTTATATTTTATCTAAATTATGGCAGTGCTTACCTAAATTTTTCTAATATTTTAATGTAAAAATAATTTTTTTTATTGCCATTCTAAATATTGTGCAGTTTTCTTCGGTCTATGTGTTTATTTTCAATTTTCTCACATCAAACCTCATCTGAAGTGAACTGGTCAATTAACGTTGCTGTAGCGTTGGTTGATGATATCGTTTGCAATTCTATTTCAATTGCAACACATGCCTGGCATTTCCTTTTTATTTTCTCTTTCTTTAATTTCTTTTTTCTTTTTAGTTGCTACACTGAAATTTTCATTTCGGACCTCGTGCCAAGATAATTTCAGCAAAGAAAAACTACAAAGAAGGTGTTTTATTTTTAAAATGTAATGTCCCAAAGCGATTCAATTCGAGTTGACAGCGTGGATGCTGTTGCAACCCCCTCCCACCACATCCACCGCAATCAACTCCTTACCTCCCACGGTTGCACACATTTTTGGTTACGCATTTCGTTGGGGATGCCACTTTTGCTCGACATCATGCGTGGCCGCCTAGCCGGCCGCCAGGCAGTCAAGCATTTTCTTTTCTGGGTTCAACAAACTCTACGCGTCGAAATGTGCAACTGAAAAATAAGTTTTGGGGGATTTGAATTTTATTTTTTTTATAAATTGTTTTAAGTATTTGCCGGTAGGCGACATACCACTACCACAGGCCGGAATGTGCATCATACTCACACATCCATGACAGCATCTAAATTTATAAATTTCAATCTTCTGGTTCTTGTTGGCTGGCTGTCTGTCCACTCCGGCAGGAGATTGTTGGATGCATGCAACTCATTTCCTGGTTATGAAAAGAAATATCTTTTTCTAAAATTAAGATTTATTCGCTTTTAGGCTGACAATGCATGGACGAGACAGATATTCTTGGCTGTCTACATGTCAGACGCGATTAGAATAATTTCAGAACATTAAAAATGAAAATAATGTTTTGGTGGAAAATTTTTTGCTTCAAATTTAGTATGCAATAAATAAGTAATAAAAACATGACGAGGAAAGCATTTTCAGCAAAAACAAGTAAAAAAGAAGCTAATTTTGGGAGGCCGAACTTTTAATACCCTCCACCATTTGAAAGGAACTTGAAATTTTTCCGAAAATCCGCAAAATACCGTTTAAATAATTACCTTATACGGGTGCTATACGAAGACGTGGACCTGCATAAGTAATTTTTTGTCATTACAAACTTTAAATACGAAATTCGAAACAATTCCGGCGAATGATGTCGCTAAAATCATCAAAATACCGAATAAAGAGAGGTACCATTATATGGGGGCTATAAGAAGACCTGCACTTGCATAGACAATTTTCTGTCATAGGCTGTTGTAGTACCCATTAGAAACTTCAAATTCGAAAATTAAAACAAATCCGGAATAAAATCCAAATCCAAATAAAAATACCTAATACCAGGAGGTACCGTTATACCGGGGCTTTACGAAGACGTGGACCTGTATAGACAATTTTCTGTCGTTGTACACATTAGGAACTTCAAATATATAAAATTTGAAACAATTCGGTGAATAATGTCGATGAAATCAGGAAAATACCGAATATAAGGAGGTTCAGTTATACCAAAAGTCCTGCGTACCAAACACACATTTGAGTAAAGTTTTATCAACCTACTTAAATTCGTTCCGAAGCTAGAGTGATTTCCACAGACAAACGGTGGTGGAGGGTATAAAAAAGCCAATGACTACTAAATTGTTAACAAATTAATATCAGATTTTTTAAACAAAGCACATGTCGCATTTATTGTTTGATTTAAATGAAATTTTCCATAAATCATTTGTTTGGCCCAATGACTAACCCTATCGAAATTGTGGGTGATAATCGGATCAGATTTTATAAGCATTGTGCACTAAATGCATAATATCAGTCTGAA